TACAGGAGAGGAAGACCCTCAATGAGATGGATTGAATCCGTGACTGGGGTCATGGGGAAAGGTGTGTCAGAGATAATAAGATTGGCAAGGGATAGAGCAGGGTTTAGGGCTGTTGTACATAGGGTCACTGTGAATTGAAGGCGACTCAACAGCACATGACAACAACAACAATTACCTTATTTAAGGAAAGGATATTCCAGTTAATAGAGATGAAAACTAAGGCTTGGGGGGGGGGGTGCGGCATAGGGCTGGGTTTAAACTAGATCAATTAGATCATAAAACCTCAGTTATTTTTCTTTTTAGATATTTGAAATACAACTTTATTCTGTTTCTAAAAGAAAAGAATGGGAATGACAGTAACAAACAAGATTTTACCATGTAATATTGTGATTTGACTGTAGCAGTCTTTTATTTGAAACTCAAGAAGGAAACTGTCTTCCAAAACAGCTAAATATGTAGGTCCAAAAATGAAGGTGTTTTAAACTGCCACACTCACTCCAAAGCCCTTTCATCTCTCCGTCAGCATCCCAAAGATTAGCACATGTTCTGCTTAGCTAGATAATAAAGTGGCAAACAAGCGGCACCACTGACATCACAGGACAGTTGCCTATAAAACTAGACTTCTGACGCTGGGCTCCAGCTTTGTTCTCTCACAGATCGTCATCCTTGTCTGGGAGAGCAGTTTTCTGTGCAACCTCTAAATCATGCTCATATTGTGTTGCCAAAGCTGGGTCCCTGACAACTTTTGGTGGGGCAAGAGCAGGCATGGCAACAAATGCCAAGTTAGGGTCTCCAATTAGTTTCCTAGCAAGCCAAAGAAAAGGTTTTTCAAAGTTGTAGTTACTTTTGGCAGAAATATCATAGTACTTAAGATTCTTCTTTTGGTGGAAAACGATAGATTTTGCCTTAACTTTCCTGTCCTTAATGTCCACTTTGTTGCCACACAACACAACGGGGATGTTTTCACATACTCTAACCAGATCTCTATGTCAGTTAGGCACATTCTTGTAGATAACTCTTGAAGTTACATCAAACATTATAATGGCACACTGGGCTTGGATATAATAGCCATCTCTCAGTCCCCCAAAATTTTCCTGGCCAGCTGTATCCCACACATTGAATTTAATTGGTCCTCTGTTGGTGTGGAACACGAGGGGATGGACCTCCACACCCAAGGTGGCTACATACTTCTTTTCGAATTCACCAGTCAGATGACATTTCACGAATGTCGTTTTTCTAGTACCACCATCACCCACCAACACGAGTTTGAACTGGACTTGGGGTTCTCCTTGGGTGGCCATTGTGATGGTTCTTCCAGAAGCATCTCTGGGCCCTGTCTGACTGATGGGATGATGGAAAGATGGCCGGTTATTTATCTTTTAAGATGAGACTTGGGGCATGCATAGGAACCAGGAAGGCAAGTGTGGGGTTGCAGGTGGGAGACTGTACCACTGTATCTGATGCACACAAAGAAGGAGAGGGTGGCAAAAGTGCAGCGAATAAAGCAGACTATGACCTGAGATGAGGCTGGAAAGGTGGCCGACGATAGACTTCCCAGGGCCTTACAGATGCATAAGAACTTGGGAATTTTATTTTGGGGGTGGGGTGAGGAAGGAATTAAGGAACAGTTTAAATAGGAAACAGTATGATCAGAGACATAATAGCTGGAGGGGAAAAGCAAAGTAATTAATCCCGTTGAACACATTCTCCAAAATAGTAACCTTTCCAATAATATGAAGGTAGTATGTTGAAATAACATTTGTCAAGATTATGAGTTTTTAAAAAGAGAAAGAGAATGTAAGAAAAATGCATGGAAATGACAGTTCCTCCCACCAATAAAAGATACTCTGTTCCCAACTGTCAGGATCTGGCTATACCTCTGATAAGTTCTGTATTTTAACATCACTCTGGTTACTTACACAGAATGGGTATAAAGGGCTAATAGACAAGGGAAGACCAATGAGGAGATTACCAATTAGGCAGTTCAAGTGAGAGATGATGGTGGCATGTAGTAGAGAGATGGCAGAGGAGCTGGGGAAAGCATGAGGATTTAAGAAACACTTAGGTGGGAGAATGCCTAAGACATTAACAAAAACAGTTTAAAGAAGAGAGTAAATGGAGAAAAGTTGCTCAGAAGAGAAGGGACTGAATACAAAGAAAACACAGATGTACTTCATAGGAGGAGAGGCGCCTTTTCATTGCAATAGGAGTAAACACAGAAACATGGGTGCACATACAGGTGGATTTAAAATTTAATATGAGAAACTGAGAGAGCTCCTATTTCATGGATTCTACTCTGGGCATGTTATGAAGTAGGGCAAATCTTCAGAAAATACACCATGCTTGGAAAAATAGGTCAGTGAAAGAGAGGAAAACTCTCAACAAGATGGACTGATGCAGAGACTGTAACAATGGGCTTAGGCTTAACAGAGCTTGAAGATGAAGCAGTACTTTGTAGGGTTTCATTCTGATGTATATGGGATAGCTACAAGTCAGAGTGAACTTGTTGGCACCTAACAACAACTTTTATAAAATAAGAGGGAAGATCATTCAGGAAGAACGGGCAATAAAGAGATGGCAGGAATGTTGATGAAAATGGAGGTTTTAAACTATTTTGGTAATGAATGGGCTGATAAAAATTTCTAGGTAATACTGAGAAATCAGCTCATGGTGTGGATTGTTAGTTCATAGTGGTATTGTATTTTTTTTCTGTGGTTTTCTCACAAAATGCTTAAGTACAGGAAATGCAAAGATAGAATAATGATTTCATCCAAGGTTGGGAATTTACCAGGTTAAGTGCTACCATAACAAGACAAATTTGGGTATATGTGAGATGGTCTGGAGAAATAATGGATCAGAGAACTTATGCCAGAGAGGGAGAGAAGCATAGCAGTGCCAGGGCTGAAGGAGACTAAAAAATTAAGAGGCCAGAAAAGTCAGTGAGGCCAGATGACAGGTGAAATGGAGATACTGAACCAAGCTGGCTAAAAAGGATGGGCAGCTGTGGAGAGGTTAGGAATATAAAACAGTGATTTGGGGAAGGGGCAGTTTCAAGCAACTGACCAAGACCAGGGTATGATTATAGGCACAGACAGCTAAAGCAAAGTAGAATAAAATGTCACTGGCAATGAAAGAAAAAAAAAATTATGGGTTCTCAGGGAGCTTATAAACTGACAGAACAAGAATATTATGAAAATACAAAATTACAGAATTAAGTGCACAAAATTACAGAATTAAGTGCACAAAACTACAGAATTAAGTGCTAAACAGAACGCCCATAAGCAGCAGCCATTATAACATACATCCCCACCATGACCACAAGAGGTCCCTCCTCTATTACCCTCCCTCTGAGGATGAGCTTGTCCCTTCCTTTTTAACGAAGCTACCTCTATTTTTTTAACTTAAAAAAAAAATTAGGTGCTAAGCTGTGGTTCAAACCAGGAGTGCTGCCAAAGTTCAAAAAGGAGAAAAATAAGGTAACTGGTATGCAATTTAAGTGGAAGGAGTTTTAGTAAGGAATCTGGGTATAGTAGGTCTGTTGTCAAATGGCTTTCTTAGCTCATTGCTCTTGACTTTGGCACATGGCTGAGTGGGAACAAGCAAACAGGATGGATTAGTTTATCTACAAAGGGACTACCTAGTTTTGCAATTAGCTAGCCTTAAGCAGGTTCAGCAGCAGGAATTTAGGAATCTTACTAAAAGCAAGGTAGAAGCAGAGAAAGCAGCTAGCATCCTTTGGGGTCAGAGATTACTGCACCAGTTTGACCAGGGACTACAGGAGTGCAGCGGCAGAGACCCAACTTGAGAGCGAGAGCTGCCCTGGGACTGCTGCTCAAACTCAGCCAGAGCCATGGATCTTCACCCAATTCTGCTGGAGAGGGCATAAACTGGCAGGACTAAGCGAGCTTTGTAAAGCCACAAGGTTGAAGGATAAAAGACCTGTGAACACAGCACATGTAAGAAGTTGTTCTGACTGAGAAACTGTATCCAGTTGCCAAGCTAAATTCTAACCTGTTAACTTCCCTAATAAACCCCATAATCATTAGTATGGTTCTGGGAGGTCTGAGTCACTACTGACAGATTACAAACCCAGCAGAACAGAAGGACTGGTGTTGGAGTAAGTAGGTGCAGGTCTGTATGGGGCATGTGTGACCTCATGAGAACTGGCTTTGTGTTATAGATGCTATTGATGGGAACAGGTCCTCCATGTGAGGTTAGCAGAGGTCAGACTCAGCTGGCCCCATGCTGCCCTGGCTCTCTTTATAGAACCAAATCCAAAACAAAACTCACTGTTCTTGAGTTCAACTCATGGTGATATTCATGTTAAATCTTAACAGAGGGGGATGTCTGTTTTCCCTCCCATGGAGATGATGGATTTGATCTTTCAGATCACAGTCCAATATGTAACATTGCTAGACCATAAAGATCCTTTGTGCTTCTGGTTAGATTTACTCCCAAGTAATTAATCTTGTGATTCGCTATTGTGAAGGGTATTGTTTTTCTTAGTTC